CCCCAATGCTTTACCATTTACTTAAAGATATCTCAGATGTTAATTTGAGATTTCCAAACAGATTTCCAAACTGTACTCACCGTCTAAAAGGAATAGCACAGAAATTACACCTAAGCCTAGTACATGTAAACATTATACAACTAAATATGTCTAAAAATAATATATTTTTTCAAATTCACCAAAAAGAGATTTGCAATTGATTCACGGGGAAGAGGATAGCTAGTAATAGTTTGAACCTCAGATTGTAGAGAAAAATCTTTTCCTGGAAGATACTGTAGGTCCACATCAGGTGGATCCTATGAAAATTAGAATTCAGCCCATTTCAGACCACTTCTGAAAGGCTGATGAGATGTAGGTCTTGCTTTCTTATACCTGGAAGGCTGTTACCTACCAAAGCAGCACACTAGGGTACCCTTAACACCTCAGTCCCACCTAGAAGTCAATCAAAGGTGACCCATGTTTGAACTTTCTGGCTAGAATACAGAATAAGGAGATTTTTGAAGTGATTCTCACCTAGGGACACAGTAAAAATGCAATTTAAAAAGGCAAAAGAAACACCTGTCTCTTAAGTCAAACAGTTTACTAGTTGCCAGAACAGTGACCTTTTGTTGGTATTTATTTACTGAAAAACTTTACCTGCATATCAGGCAATTACCGTATAGGAAGGTCACCCTTGAAATACTGATTTCTGAAGAAACAAAAAAGATAACTAAGTTAAAGAATACATGAGAGAAGCCAGAAGCTTCTGATTTACCAATAGAACCAAAATTCATAACTTGAGAGATCAGTCTTAAGATTTCAATCATTACTTTGTTGAACTCACTCTCAAACACATACCATTGGTTACAAGGTGGGCCTGGAAAAAAAATTTACCAATCCAGAATTTTACTATTCATGTTATTTTAGAAATAAATGTACATGTACATATTATATCAACATTTGCAGTAAACATTCTTAAGTAAAGAGAAAATAACAACTTAATCAAGTATTCAGTTCTCCTTTATAATTTATTCCACCAGGATTAACTAACATCCTAATCGTAACACTTCAAAGTTTCCTAATTTCAAAGATCAAAGAGGTTAGGTACTTAGCTTAGGAACAAATGCTGTGGAACTACTTCACAATCAGTCCAATATCCCTGCATATGAACTTCACTATACTGAACTACAATTCTTAGAATCAAATTTCAATTCTCCTTTTCCATTGTGTATTTTAAATGATTCCATTCCCAACCAAAATAGAAAACTACTCTGGCTCCAATATTCATTTCCATTCTACTTTTGACTAGAAAAGTCACAAATAACATTTACTATCAGATACACTCTACTGTTTTATGGATGTAAAGCTCAGGAATTAGTATTATAATTGTTCTACCTAAAGAAAAATCCCAATCAGTAAACTACACTGTAGCTTAATTCAAATGGTACTGAGTCCAACACTGCATTCAAAAGAACTTGTTAATGAGTGTTACTCAGCTTGTTCAATGGACCACCAAGCAACTACAGGAGAAAATGCACACAAAAAGAGAAAAAAAAAATTTAAAACAATGGAACATCTGCCATCTTGTGGCAAGTTGGAGAAAATGCAGCAACCGTTGAGAAGCTTCTTCATATTGTAACCCTTCTGAGGATTATTTCTTCACATTAACATTACTACTCACGTAAACAGACAATAACAATTTAATAGCTTCATTTTTTCCATAATCCATTCACAACCATTTTGCTTGACAGATTACCGTCCAGTGAATTGCAGGGACACTAAGATCCCCCTAAATTTATCAAATGTTAATAGATTCCTTGCTGAAACTAGTTCTGAAAAGATTGTTTCCTTATCCACCATGGACTAGTATTTTACTAGTAGGCATCAAACTCAAACTCAAACACAAGGCTTAGAGCAATTTGTTTGAAGTCTAAATAACACTTGAAGATTTTAAGACTTCCCTCACAATTCTGGTCCCATCTATCTCCGTTTACCTGACATAACAACAGTAGTAGTTAACAGCATTAACTCTATCAAGTCAATCTTCAACAACCTTAATGAAGAGAGGACTACTATTATTTTCCTCATTTTAAGTTAAGCAATTAAGACACAGAGAAGTTAGTAACTTGCACAAGATTGTGAAGAAAAAAGGATCTTAAACTATCAAAAGTTATTACTTGTGATAGCATACAAATTGAAGTTTTCACTTAAAACCTTGAAAATCCATGTCATTTATATCATAATACAAAAAGAAATGTTATGAATCCCAGTATCAGGGAAGCTTCAGTAGTAATTTTACTGAAGCCACATCAATCAGAAGATGAAGGTAAATTACTCCACTCTAAGAACTTCAAAGCATCTCCTATTGACAGAATGCTAGTAGCATTGTTATTAACTACCTTATAGTACCCGTGGAATTTGGAAGCTTTCATCCATGCCAAAAGGAAATGAGAAAAATTGAGAATACAGCAGTATCTTCCCTCAGTAAAGAGCTTCTCCCCCCGCCCCCCACCTCCCTGCCAAGTTGAGGTCTGTTTTAAAGTGCCATTTTAAAAGCTGAAACGATAGTGACTACCCCTATCAGGACCATGATTCTCCCAGACTTTGTTAGGACTTTTAGCCACAAGGCAAATCTTCCTTTTCCAGGGAAGAAATGAAACTAAGATAGTCACTATTGTCCCAGAAACACTGAACTGCATGAATCTGCAAGTCATCACAAAAGATAATTTGAAAAAAAGGAAATGAAAGCTGTAAGGATGCGTAAAATTTCCACCCCTCTGACCAGATTGTTTACATTTTTAATTAAAAATTAATTTAAAAAATATACATTAAAAATTAAATAAAAATTACCTCAATAGATGCAGAAAATGCTTTTGATAAAATTCATCATCCAGCTATCTGACTCTTCTTGTGGAAAGCATACAACTTCTTTTTATCCATTTGATTGCCCATTATCCCAATACCACTCAAGGAATAATCTCTTGCCTTCATCAATCTGAATTATTTTTTTTATCCAATATTGTTCCAAATGTATTAGGGTATTTATCTTGACATCTTATGATCTTTTTATGCCAGAACCATAGCTTCTTTATATTTTTATTTATAAAAATTTTTGTTACTGCTCTTGTAAGTGGGACCTTACTTTTTCTGACACATCTGGCTGTGTTTTTGTATACTACCAGTTGCTATTTTCTGTGTATTAATGTTGTACCAAGTCACCTTGCTGAACTTTCATGTTTCATATTATTCTCTTGAGGCTTTAGCTTTATATAGATGCTTCTATTTGTAAATAGTAAAACAAAACCTAAGTGTAACCAAGGAACCTCACTACACTATTGAAACAAATTTTTGGCATGACCTTAATACAGGGCAGTTAAAAGGAGTTGTGCTTGTTCAACAGGGTTAATAAAAATGTAAAGAAGCAAGTTACATAAGTACATGTGCAATACCATTGTGTGTTTCACAAACACTAAATGTATGTAACTATTTCATAAATGAAGAACTGAATTCCATAATTCCTAAAATCACAAGGGTTTGAATGCTGACAGATATGCAGCAAGAATGAAAACAGGCATAAGGTATGGTTACTTCTGAAGAGTCGTAAGGGAATCAACTGACAAACTGGATAAAGAGAGCTTAGACCTCTTCTGTATAAATTTATTTAAAGAAAAACAGAGTTGGAACCAACATGGCAAAAGTGAAATATCTGTTAAATACAGGTGAGAGAATTGCTGCTCATTACAAAAGTCCAGGTGCTTTTGCAAATGCTGAAGTATTTACTAACAGGAGCTTTTAGAAATATTTTTGACTGATCTGTCCAAATTTTTACCTCAAAATAATCAATTTGGCCCAGCAAAAAGATTTCATTGATTTTGGCAAGTTTCTAAAATTTTTAGCTTTCTCCTTTGCATATCTTAGTAGCAGAAATTACCCCATTTGTCTGCTTCCTACCTTTATAAAGTGTAAGCTGTGGGAGCAGACATTTTCCCATTATGTTCAGTTGCATGCTCAAAGCCTTAAAGTGGGGAGACACTCAACAAATTAATGATAAATGACTTTTAAGTGTTTGTTTCTTTCGTTTGGAAGCCTGGGTGTAATAGTGGAACCTGGGTACCATGTATATGCAGTACAAGAACCAGGTTTTGTCTAAACAGCAGGTTTTATTTTAGCCTTGACATAAACACAGGAAAGTTCTGTTCAAACACACCATACAATTCTTTGCCTACTTGGTATACAGTAGGGGTTGGAAAGAGTCCCACAGAGCTCAGTATGGAAACTATAGTTTCCTTTTCTGATTATAGATTTCTTCTTTCAACTCAGAATCTCGATTACCAGTTTTTGGGAATCTTTGGTTCAGCTCAAAGCTAATTCCTATATCTCAACTGCATAGCTTGTATCATTAATCTAAGACATAAATTATGATTATGATATATTAATCTTCACCAATAATGGCTGGTTAACCTATAGAGGACAAGATGGTAGACTCCTATTAGAGTAAGAAATAATAATTACTGTAAACACAGTAATTTCCTGAAGAAACAGTTTATGGATGTCTTTGAAGTTGTAATCAGTATCTTTCACCTTTAGGGTATTCTATTTTTCTACAGAAATGGTCACGTTACTTACTAGCCTATGAAATTAGACTCCATGTTGTAATAAACAGACAAAAGACAATCGAAGTACAATTTTTTAATAAAGATAATTACAAAAGATGGAAAAATCAGCTCAGAAAGGCCAATTACTTCTTTAATAGATCAGTTTTTTGACATAATAACACATCAATTTTAAATACTATCACGTAAAGCATGGAGGAGAAAAGAAATTTTGCTTCATAATTAGAAAACTCACAATAAAACTTGCCAAGAAAAACAAAAACAAAAACAAAAAGCCATCTTGAAAATAAATACAGTCCATGCCAAAGTAGTATAAAATGAAGCCAGAAGTCTTCAAAAAGAAAAAACATTTTTCTTCCCAATATTTGCTCACTTTTTTATGGTTTCTCAAAGTGGTGACACTCAAATTCAAGGATTGCTGAGCTGTTCTGATTTGGCTCTGTTAAAAGAGGCAATATGAAATATTAAAAACTGTACAATCTCAGTTTAAATGCAATGACTGATAGATCAGTCCGGTTCTTGTCAAGAAACATGTAAGCTGGTAGTGCCTTAAGTTTTTGAAGCACTCGCTGCCTTGACCTTTTGAGTGGTTTTACAACCTATTCCAAGTCATTCTATGAAGGCTAACACAAAATTATGTGTGGCCAAGCATCTACATGCTATCTGACAATACAAAGCTCAATTATGGTCTTTTAAAAAATTATGTTATATTAGCCCAGTGATTCTTAAATTTACCTGTCTTACAACACCAAAAAATCATGTATATAGAAATAAGAGCACCATGAAAGATGATGTCTATATAAAAGTTAATAGCAAAACAAGGCTTAGATAAATTATGTTCAAGAATATAAACTGATCTATTTTAATACATTCAGTTACAACACTATTACTAGCTTTTGTAATTTTTAAGGCATGCTACATAAATGAAAAATGAGCAAGTAAATGAAATATAAGCTAATGGTTAAGATACATATATACTGCCTTAAATACCATACAAAAATTCAGCGCATCTCATAACAACCTACTGATGATATTCCAGGTTCATCTCAGTACTTCTCAAAGAATATATGTATACTCACCCCAACCCCAGTAAACATGCTAATTATTTTTATAGCATATAAAAATTACTAGAAAAAGAACACAGCTTACCCTTTGGTATCTGTTTTTTCACCACTATTATCCTTGGATTTATCTTCCTCCTTAACATCTAAAAACAAAAATTGGGAAGAGATTAACACCTTTTATTTTAAAATATATCTTACTTAAAATATAAAAAACTGTCATATACAATATTATTGTTCATGAAATCAACAACTAACTAAGCTTCTGAAGATGTACTAAACAGAGGTTCAAGGTATCAATGCAACATCACAGTCCTGCCTTTGGGGACTCTCCCCCTGTGGGATCACAGCATTACAGGCAGGATATGCACCATGAACAAGTTCAGCCAACAGACACGTGCGTAACACCATGGTAGATCAGGAAAGGCTATGACAAGTGACCTTTGCAAGGCATTCTGAAAAACAAATCTCTTTTGAGTGGGAAAAGGGAAGAAGTACCTTGAACAGATGGAAAACTCAAAAGGACTTTGAGGCAAAAAGGAATTAGGTTGGAAGGAAAAACTGCAAGACCAATTTGGCTGGAGTTTTGTGACAAGGGGACAGAATCAGAGGAAGTCAGAGACAAAACAGAAGCTAAATTCTATTGCTTATATAACCAATTGTTTTTTTTCTTTTTTAATAATGGTTAGGCTAGTACCTTTCTTTTCTAAACTTTTTATTTTGTATTGGGGTATAGCTAATTAACAATGTGTGACAGTTTCAGATGAACTGTGAAGGGACTCAGCCATAGATATACACAGCCATTAGATTTTAAACCTTTGCTATGTTAAGTATCAGAACTTTACCATTTTAATAAAAATTAAGAAAATAGTAAGAGTAACACTATCCACTCAAGATCATTGGAACAAATTAGCCAAAATGTGCTAAATTTTTTCTTTAGATAAGCCAATGAACCAAAGTTGTGAGGCACTGATTATAATACAAACATAAAGCAACATGTTTATTATGACATTTGTTTTGGCTTCTGGCTTAATTTTAGATATGTAAACAGAAGTGCCAAGTGGGGTTTGGGGAGGGATGAAGAACAAAGAAATATTCCTATCTTCAGGTTCTGAACTATCGACTTTTAAGAATTTTTCTATGGTAGTATTTATCTGTATGTTGCAAGATTTTAACAAATGTAAGATACTATAAGAAGAATTTCATTATTAAACTAAAAAATTTAAGTATCAATTATTATCAGCAACAGAAGTACTTAGGAACTAAATACTGTGAGATTAATCCACCACCAGGCCATTAAAGCCAGATCAAAAGGCACTCTCATTTTCAGCTAAAACAGCAATGAAAGATAAGCACTCCAGTGCACCCACTATCCCATTTGGAAGAAAAAGCATAGAAAGGTAAAAATTTAAAAAGCAAGGATAAATGCCAGAAAGGAAAACAAACAAATAAACAAAAAATCCAGAAAAGACAAACTGACAGAGAAAAGAAAAGTACTAGAAAAATCCTACAGCTAAGTTAAGTCCTTCTTACCTCAATCATAGCTGGAATTTCTGGATGTCAATCAGTACACAAGAGCAGACTGGAGCCATCATTGTAATACATTGGGAAGTTAAAATTATAAAATGACAGACAGAGAACAGTAGCCTATAGTGGAGTCAATCCACAAACAAAATAGAACTAGATGTGCAGACATGCTATAGATTCCTAACTCTCTAGTAAGTAAAAAAAAGAACACAAGGGCCAGCTTACTCATGTAACTTCAATATGATAGAAAAAGGATGTTGGCCCAATACCTCTGAATCTGTTTTCCACATGCTACAGGATCAAAATTAACAGGTCAACTAAAACCTATGCTCATCACCGTTACCTGCATATAGGTAGCAGGTATCCAGCAGGAAATGCACCAATTACAAGAATTCAAGTATTTAAGATACTGCATTCTCTAGCCAAGAGCAGCTCAACCTAGCAGGGAGATATGTAAAGTTCCTAATGAGGTGCTATAATATAATGTGTTAATAAAATGACTGAGGTATGTGTAAGTGCTCTGGAAACTCAGATAAAAGAAAACACATTCTGAAAGCAAATTCAATGCCCTAAATCATCTATTTTCTCAACAGACAAATTGACACATTTGTCTCAACAGACAAGACACATTTTTAAAGTTAAGACATCAGAAAGTATTATCTCCTAACCCAGCTCTCAAATCCCTTCCCATCTTTCCACAGCTTTTATGTTTCTTTCAAATAATAACAAAGTCTGTTCTCTGAGCCTTTTTAAAATGGTGAAACTGGTCTAAGGTTATATAATGTTAGTCTTCTTTTATGTTTTATTCTCATCAAATAAACTTACAGGCAGTTACAAATTAGCTTAGAATTTCAGCTCTGCTCATGGGCTACATATGGGTCTATAACCACTTTGTTCTCTCTCTTACTCAATCTAGATCACAGTGGACTGTTCAATATTTTAAGCCTATTTTGCCAAGAAGAGATAGTTTTCTGTATTATAAAAGCAAATGTGACTAATAACATTTAGAGAGCTTTAATTAAAAGTTTACTTACATGGAGGAAAAACAAGTCACCTATTTATTTATTTAGCACACTCACCTATTTCCGATACTTGTGTAAGTATTTCAGGATCTTATAAAAATTACTTGTTGCTCACTTTCAAAAACTTACAATTAAAACATCTATCAAAAAATAAATCTGACCTGCTTTTTTGTCCTCCGTTTCCTTCTTGTCTTCTTCGATTCTAGCTTTTTTTGCTCCTTTCTTATGATCAGCCACATTTCTACGACCACCTTCTCCTTCATCCTCAGAATCTGAGAACTCTTCATCACAAGCTATTCGTTTGTCTGATGCTCGAACTGACACATTAAAAGATTTTTAACAAAACTTTGACAAAGGCAGTCATAGGTTTTACAAATGTTAAGTACACTGCTCTATAGAAGAACTAGCCAGTCATATTTAAAAGGATAACAGATTTTAAGATTATAACTGAATGCATGGCTTGCTAAACATTAAAAATTTAGCTTTAATCTAGGAAGAAATAATTCAAAGGAATATGAAGAACATTAGAGGTTCTCATTAAAAAAAAACAAACAACTTTGGAGGAAAAAAATATTGCTTTTGTGATAGGAAGTAGGAGTGATCTTTAAATAAAAAGTAACCTTTTATTTCAGAGCTGAGAGGGGAAGAAGAGAAAATAAGAAATATCATTTACGTCAATTATGTTAGAATGTCTATACCATAATAGCATACTATTAGGCTAAAAGCCTATAAATCACATTAAGTGGAACTAGATTGTAGAATCAAACAGAAGGTGCTTAATGTTATTCAACTCACTCTACATGTAAGTGGGTTATTTGTAGAAACTGAAATTGCTGACACTCAAATCAGGCTCTGAGACAAAGGAAATTAGATCTACATAAGATCAAAAAATGATGAAAACAAAGACAGTAATAACAGTGTACTCATGAAAACAGGTGAGGTTCTTGGGCAACCAAAACCTCCAGTCTGCAGTGTTTTTTTAATAAAGCAGAAAAATGTAACAGAATACACATCAAAGGACTATCTTACTAGAAATTCTCTTGTCTGGATCTTCTCCATCTTCATCTCCACTATCTTCATGAACTGCATCTTCTGGAATAGCTTGCATCTGGACACCAGGTGCATGAGGCAACATGCGTAAATTTTCAAATAAACGCTGTCTAAATTACAACATGCATAGTCATTAGAAAAAAATGTTTTCTTTCAAGTTCTTAAAAGTTGCATCTTTTATCTAGCTTAACCTAAGAATTAAAATAGTAACATTTGCTGGGTACTGATACTTTACCTATTATTAACCCGTTTAATTCTCAAAATTTACAAGGTAGATACTTAATTTCATCCCCCATTTCAAGGAGGAGGAAACATAAGCACAAAGGCAAATTAACTTGCCAACTGTCATGGAGCTAGTGTGTGGTAAGGGAGGGCACAAACCCAGGCCTGTGTACCAACAATGTCTCTCCAAACTATTTCTTAGAGAAAGGTCTATCAAATGTTTCAATGAAAATAAATTTCACTTTCATTAAAGCAAGAAAATATACAACTTATAGTGTCCTTTTCAACAAAAAAATCCATTTTAACAGAAAATGGAAATATTTTTCAGCTACGAATCCTATTATACATTTTCCATTATTTTATAAAATTAAAGAAACCAAGTCTTAAGGTTTCAAATACTTTTGACAAAAGGGAATACCTTATGTATAAAGTTAAACTGACCTACTGCACATGACCTTCTAAAAGCTTCAAAAGTTACATTAACAATGTTAATCAAATCAAGTTGATGATGTCTTACTTTATCTTTTCCATATATTCTGGAGTGTTCTGGTTTGTCATGTTTGAAGGACTAATATGCAGTTTGAAGTCCGGTCCAAAATACTCAAAATAATCATTATATGGCAATTCTATTAAAAATAATGAAATAAAGTTACATGTTAAAAGCTCAATCCATACCTAAAATCCAGACTCAAGTTGTAAAATATTTCCAGAGAAAATATTTAAAAGTGAATACAAAATGAATTTAGTGACTGCTCTCCTATTTACATAGTTTTGGAATCAACTCTAATGACCTAACCATCTTTTTCTACAGACAGTTCATCCAATAAAGACATCATAATAAGAACACTTACCGTTGGGAATCTCACAGTCAAGAGCAACTGCAGTCTCATATGTCCAACACCGAGCAACATTTCGGATTGTGTATCCACCTCCCCCAAGCATCAGTAATGGTAAATTGAAAGTTTTTACAACTTCTACACATTTAGCATGACCTAAGACAAAGAAGATTTGGGTAACAATATATTTACACACTGTACCAGCTGGAAAAGAAAAATTTAAAAAGATAACAAAATTTTACTCAACCAAAATGGCTTTTCTAAATATTTAAAAAACAAATAATATGTAAAAATTTTAAGAAAATTTCTAGTCTAAAACTTTCATCAAACACCTTTTACACAATATACAAAACTCACTGAGACATAATTGGCTATGTTAACAAGCGTCCTTGATGGAAAAGTCAAATATACAACTATATTAAGATTAAAATATAACACATTTTTATGGATGTGATATGAAGATATTATGTTCTTATAAGGTTACCTGGGGGGAAAAATAAGTGAGGTTACAATGAAACATTAAGTACAAGCTAATAGAAACTGATGTTTTGTTACCACTTTCCTCCACAGACATGAACAAAAAAATTATGTAAGACTATACAGGTTTAGTTATAGGTTATTTTAGATAGTGGTATTATGGACACTTTTCCTTTTTTTTAAATAATATCTGGCAGTTTATTAAAAAATGGAGCATACTGAACAACAAACTATCTTACATCTTTAAGGAAGAAAAAACACTAAATTCAAAAAAACATCACCCACTGAATTTGGACACAACACCTCTCTCTACTCAATTAAGAGAAACATTTGTACAGTTCAGGTCTTTATTTTTACACCCTTCAGGCCATGAATTCATAGAGAATGGGCTCCAACAGTTCAGGTTCCTTTCCACTGGTCCTCACAAAGTGTGCTTCCCTGGGTGGAGCAGGCTGGCGCTTCAGCTGAACCCAAGTCCCTTTCTCTTTGGCTTCCTTCTTTTTCTGATCATTTTCCTTCACACATTTTAGGAAAATATCTCGGCTCTTAAAGAGTGCTCAATATGCTTGATACGCACATTAATTCTCTAAGAATCTTGACCTTGTTTGTTTACAATGATGCCAACAGCATGCTGGGTAACACTGTAGACTCTCCCAGTTTTGCCATGGTAACATTTGTGGGGCATTACTTTTTGAACAGTACCCATTCCCTTGATATCTACAGTATCACCCTTCTTGTAGATTCGCATGTATGTGGCCAAAGGAACAACTCCATGTTTTCTAAAAGGCCTAGAGAACATGTAGCGGGTGCCCCTCCTCTTTCCCTTGTGTTGGTCACTTTGGCAAATTACTGGAAGATGGCAGTTCCGGCCGGAAAAAAGCCACTTTTCTTATCTAAAATTATTACTATTAATAACAACTTTAACAAATTTCTTTGTATAGAAATTTAAATATAAAGTAAACCCAACATAAAAACAAAATATTTCCTTTAGATGTCATAATTCAGTAACCATTATGAGTCACTAGTAATTTCTTATATTATCATCATTCAGGAACATAAGTCAACCTTTAAAGCAAGAGCAAAATCCCTCAATTACAGAAGAAACTGATACATGCTGAATATTTGGAAAAATCAAAATAAGTACAAAGAAAAAAACTACCTAAAATTCTATCATCTGAAGATGCTGCTGTTGTATTCAGTTGCTAAGTCATGTCCTACTCTTTGCAACTTCATGGACTGTAACCCACCAGGCTCCCTGTCCATGGGATTTCCACGGCAAGAATACTGGAGTGGGTTGCCCTTTCCTACTCCAGGGAATCTTCCCAGTTTAAGGATCGAACCCAGGAGTCTCCTGCATTGACAGGCAGATTCTTTACCACTGAACTACCAGTGAAGTCTCATCATCCAAAGACAGTTTTTTAATATTCCCTTCCAATTCTTTCTAATTTTTAAAAGCTTAATGTTTTCTTCATGTAACTATACTGTAGGCATTTTCATGAAGTATTCTTCAACAGTCACATTATATGATCCACAGTCCAATTTTTATTACTGCAATTACAAAAATGCATGCTTCTTATAATAGGGGAAAGCCATTCGGGTATTTTTAAAGATGAAACAAACAAACAATTAAAGACTTCTAAGTAAAGAAAGCTGGCTAAAAAAGGACATTTCCTTTTCTTTCATCTCAAAGCCTGACAAAAATGATTACAAAGGGATTTTTTTAAAGGCTAAAACTTATAAAAATGAAGAATGGAGAACATACAATGGTAATAATATAAATGAAGATAGAAAGGAGACAGACAAGAGGTAAACTGACTTTAGCAGACCTGAGAAATCTGAATTGAAGCTGGCACTGGAAAAAGCTTGGAATCAAGTTTAAGCATTGGGATTGCAAATACCTTTGTATGCTTTATACAGCTTACATTCTATCAGTCAGTTGAAATATAATGTAGATTTATAGTAAGAGTAAATGTTGTACCTTGTAGTTATGAAAGCTATTACTTTTACATGCAAAGGCATTAAGAACTTTCAAAAAGTTAAGGCAAGAAAATTGACAAATTAATGCACATTTTGAATACATTAGATAGATTTTAAGAAGATCATATCCATTTTTGAGGAAACAGATAATTTCAAATCATTCAACGTAACATAAGCAGAATAGATTGATTATATCATAATTCTGATGCTGCCTGGCACAGGAGCTATCCTAACATTAAATAAAACAGTCTTTAAAATCTAAATTTAGTTATTAATTTCCATTTAAGCCAACAGTAGTACTGGAAAAAGTTCTACCTGAGAATTCTTCACCTTTTATGAGAGAATTCAAGCAGAACATGAACTTGTTAAAGTTCACAAGGAAAACAACTCCAAAATCCTGTACAATATCCATGATTAATCACTATTAACCTACATACCATAAATTTTAAGAACTTATAAAATACATTTTCAGATTTACTCTTACACCCTAGCAGCTCATTCCATAATGGTGATCTTTACTTTGGTCTGGACCTCTATCACATTGATTTTAACACTTAAAAGCAAAGAACAGCTCAACATTCTAACAGATCTACAGAGGAAATTCACCCAAACAGCAACAGGTCAGAAGGCTGTTCTTTAAGAAGGTAAAACTGATAGAACACCTGATCCACCTTCATTTATTAATGAGTAAGAAGAAAACTAAGGAAATGACAAAATTGCACAGAAAAACAAGTTATGCAAAAGGAAAATTGAGTAAGCTGAACCATGCTTTAATGTTTTTCATGATGCCATAAACAATGACTACCATAAATGAAATTGTGGTCTAGATTTAAACTGCAAAAATGGGATACTGGAAGGGTAAATGCATGTGCTAGGGACAAAGTGATGACTCCTTTCTCTTTCACAATGGAAAGTGAATATACAAGGTTAAAATTAAGTTAAAAATAAGAACACAGCTTGCAGAATTCCCTGCTGGTCCAGTGGTTAGAACTCTTGGGCTTGCACTGCTGAGGGCCTGAGTTCAATCCCTGGTTGGGGAACTATGATCCCACAAGCTGCGCGGCATGGCCAAAAAAATTTTAAAAAGCTTGCATATTGTCTTAAGAAAGGTAAGCACCAAAAGAATCAACCAAAAATGTTGAAAATTATGCTAAGTGTAATATGTGGAATCTAAAAAACAAATGAACAAATATAAATAAACAGAAATAGTTATAGAAAACAAATAAGATAGTTGCCAGAGGGAGAGAAACAGATGAAGGAGATTAAAAGGTACAATATAAATGAGACACAGGTATGAAATATATAGTGTTGGGAATACAGTCAATAGCAAAATAATATCTTTGCATGATGATTGATGACAACTAGACTTACCATGGTTATCATCTGGAAATGTACAGATTATCAAATTATAACGCTGTGGACCAGAAACTAACTACTATAATGGTGCAGGTCAATTATACTTCAAAAACAAACAACAAACAAACTGACAGAAAAAGAGATCAGATTTGTGATTACCAGAGGTGGGGAGGGGATTAGATGAAGATAATCAAAAGATACAAACTTCTAGTTAAAAGATAAATAAGTATTAGGGATAAAATGTACAACATGATGCAGATAATTAACACTGTTGTATGTTACAAATGAAAGCTGTTAAAGACAGTAATTCTAAGAGTTCTCATCACACAGAAAAATATATACATTTTCAATCTATTTCTTTAATGTTTTAACTACAGGAGATGATGAATGTTCACTAAACCTTCTGTGTTAATTAATCATTTCAGGATGCTGAAATCACGCTGTTGAAGTCAAATTATAATGTGCATCTCAAGCTTACACACAACTGCATGTCAACTACATCTTAATAAAACCAGAATAAATAAATAAACAAATACAAGTTTAAAAAAAAAGCAAAAAATCACTGCCTTGGTTGGGAAAGCAACAAGTCTTATAAAACTGATCACGTAAAAATGTATATATAAATTTGACAAAATAAAAGACCTAATTTATGAAACTAGATTAAGTGTAATTATATAAATCAATTCGAAATACATACATACATATATCAAAAACCCACAAAAAATATAAAACACACATGGTTCCGTGTTAAGTATCAGGTAAAAAAAATGACAATTTTTATGGGAAGTTCTTAGAAAGAGAAAAATTTTTTTTCTGGAGTATCACCCTTCAAATTGCTTACCTTTAACTGTCAGATTGAAGCAACCGAGTCTATCGCCAGACAGTGAGTCTGCACCGCACTGCAACACCACAGCACTAGGCTGATACATCTCCATCACTTTTGAAATAATCTATGTGCAAGGTGACAAATGTTAATATCGCTAAAAAACATTTTAGAATTCCTTTTCATTTTTAAAAATAATAATACTTACAGGCTTAAATATCTGGCCATATGATTCATCGTCTATACCATCTCTCATTGGAAAATTGACAGCATAGTATTTGCCTTTTCCTGCACCAATATCCTAAAATACATAGTGTAAGTAGATCTTAGAGAATGTATCATAATAAAAAGTTTGACATGTTTAATTATTAAAATATTTTTAAAAGATGAAAAGAGTAGGTAACAAACCCAATTCTGAATTCATCTTATAGGCTGAGAGAGGAAATAATACAGAATAAGTACATATTTCAACATTTATGGATATTTATAAAGCTGAAAAGAACCAATTCCAGTTAATCTGTAATGATTATTTTGGGGAGGAAAGAAATTTAACATAGTTAAGGGCAGTTTGAAATTAAATATTACATTAACTCAAGAAATTTGTCATAAACAAAATACACAAGACAAATTTACCAAACTGTAGGAAATACAAACTCAAAGCCAAGAACCCTACAGGACAGGGTTGTCCTGCATTGTCTCTAATGCCAAACCCTTCTTGGGGCTCACAATCTGGCACGAGTTGAAGACTTTCTTGAAGTTTTAACAGCTACAGACTAAAACACTGAAATCTGTCTTATTTAACTGGGCTTGAAATAAATTTTGTTTCTACTTGTTAAAAAAGTATCACTCAAGACATTAATACTTCCCAAAAGAAGCAAAGGAGAAAAACTGAGTTCCAGTCACACACACACAAAACATATATACTTATTTTATTAACTATAATTTATGCACATGTAAATCTATGTTTATGTATATGTGTACATATGTACACACACACACTATAAACAGCTGATCTTTGAACAACACTGGGGTATAAACACCAGCATAGTTGAAAACCTGAGTTTAACATTACAGTCTGTCCTCCATATTCACAATTCTGCCTCTGTGGATTCAATTAACTGCGAGTTGTGTAGCACTGAAGTACTTACTTAGTGAAAAAAGTCCCACAGAAGTTCAAAACCTGTGCTGCTCAAGAGTCAAGTGTTTATTTTTAGAAGAGATGGTAGAGACATTTCTCATGTGTTTTAAATTACAATTGACCTGTTTTACACAACAAGGGTTTGAATGGTGGGTCCACTTTTATGCAGACATTTTTTCCAATCAATGTATTAGAAAATTTTTCTGGAGATTTGAAACAGCATGAAAAACTTGTACATAAACTGCAGTATAGAAATATTTTTGAAAATAAAGAAAAAGGTATGTCATGAATGCATAAAATATATGTAGATATACATATACAAAATATGCTAATTGGCCATTTATGTTATCATGAAGGCTATTAGTATTAATGCTTTGGGGAGTCAGTCATATGCCGATTTTCAATTGCAGGAGAGTCAGCATCCCTGATCCTCTTGTTTTTCAAGGGTCAATTGTATGTCTCAATATATATGAACCTTTAGGATTACTAATACAAATACATGTTATTCCCTTTTTTCTCATGGAAGAATCTCAGCTTGAATCCATTTTTTAAAGAGCATAGTTTACCCTTCAATATTAGTTATTATGATCCAACTTTCAATGAAAAAGCATGAAATTACACACCCACTCCCACAATTATTCTTAAAGAGAATCTCAATTTTTATATAACTAAATACAAACTAAACACATATGTACAAACTAAAATGCTGTAAATTCTGAGACTTCTACAGTAAAAAAAACACAGCTGGAATATACACTGACACTAAGATTTCAGAATACAGCAAGGTGATGAGCACTTCTCACTCGACTTAAAGGTGAATTAAAAGCACTTCTCACTCACAGTACACAACTGCGGCCCTTACTTGACCAAGTTTTATACCCTCCATAACTGCTACTTTATCACACCCTTGTCTTTTTTTTCTTCCATCTAGACTACTGATCTAATAATAATGCAAGCATAGTTTTAACAATGATCTAAGCTCACAGTAGACTTCTTTTCTGATTTAGAATGAATTCTCAGGTAGAAAAGGTAATGTTTACTAAATTATACAATACTTGAGCTTCATTAAAGTCCAAATACAACAACACATACAATGCAGGAAACTGATTTTAGTTTCTGAAACTTGGGGATATCTTTTAATATCTAAAGGGAAAAGAAATGTGACATTTCATAGGAGTATAAAGTCTTGAGAGGGAAAGAGATGTTGAAAGTCATTTTCAATCTCTAAAACACACATTTTCCAGTGTCTTCCAACAACTTCAAACAATCCTAAGTACACTGTCAGAAATTAAACAGAGGCTTCCACTGCCGTTTCTGAGATTAATTAAAATTATACTGCAAGACACTTATTTCTTTAAGCTTAAAGCTGGGAAAGTTTTTGCTTAACATCAGAAAGCAATGGTTACAGACAAATTCTATTGGTTTAGAGCGGTGGTGTGCAGCATAGAATCATTCAGTTTCTGGAGCCTGAGAATATGTGCTAATAAGTTCTCAGGTATAACTGACTCTGCTAGTTTAAGGATTATTGGGAATCACTGGTCTATAAGGTAAGACCAAGTGGGGAAAGGCATTGAAGGAGCTAACATGGCAAGAAAGAACTGAAAATATGAATTATTTTAAAAGCCACATAATTTAAACTGAAATAAATGAAACAAATGACCCTCCTACCCACTTATAGGTAAAGAAAAGTTTCACCATCTGAACTCTTACTGAAAGAACACAACCTTATGATCAAATAATTAAATCATATATTTGAAGACTACTTTAAGCCCACTCTAAACTTTTGGTTGTTAAACTCTAACATAACAACATACCACAGACTTAAAACTTACCTTAACATAATAGTTTAGGACTAATGTTGAATGCCATGCTAAAAGAAATCTCCCATATAATACAGCTAAATTAAAAGCAGATGTATAAATTTTTGAATAAACTTCAACGTGCTTGCAGTTTGGTTCAAAAAACAAAACCTCTAGTGAAGCAAAAAGAAAAAAAAGGTGGGGGGGGGACTTCAAAGCACTAAATAAAAGAAGATAACAGAAATATATAGAAATAAATGTGCTTAATATAAACAGGCAGGCAGGATAAGCTATGATATTCTTTTTCTCCCTAAATTGCAAGGGAGGTGGGGGACAGAGATGAGGGAGGAGACAGGGAGGCCTAAAGAAAACAGAGATTAAAGTCTGAGTAATTAAAGACCAATCACAAAAGGAGGGCAATACAAAACCCTTAAAAAGACTCATCAATTATTTTATCCCACCAAGCTTTATATTCAATAGCAACATAGGCTACAATCAAGTAGGTTTTGAAGATTCAAACTTAACATCAAGAAAACTGCTTCATGCTTTGTGGATGTTCAAAAGTATTTATTCAACCAAAGAAAAAGCTCAGCAAAAGAAAGCCCTTAAAGTTCTTGAATTTTTGCTTATAATCAGCAAAAAAGTGAATTACAACAATGTTAAGCACATAAAAATGACTTAAGCCTTCATATAAGCTTCAAATTAATGATCCAGAGAAATATGAGTTCAGGTGTAAGATTACTAACCTCCTCTAGGTTCATCTCATAACATTTATTCAGAGAGAATTCAATCTTACCCGTAAGTCTCCTGTTCCAGGAAAGTATTCCCCATATTTATGGAACGATACAGTCATTACACGATCTGTTGTATAAAAAGCCTCCTCAACACCATCACCATGATGGATATCAATATCAATATATAAGACTCTCTGATGATACCTGAAAACAAAGCCTTAAGTTTTCAAAAAGGTTTTAAGACAGGAAGAACTACCATGGATTCAGGAAACCTATTTTTGAGCTCCCGCATTCCAGAATGTTTAATCCTCTTTGTTTTCTTTACTTCTAGCCTAAGAGACGATTCAAAAAGACCATCCTCAAGTCAGAGTCTGAACCTCAGAGCTTATAAATCTCTTTATACCCTTTACATCTAGGTAAGAAAATGTATTTACTTTCTGAAATCTCTCTTATTCTGCTTTGAAAACATAGTGTATGTTTCTAAATATTTATAATTCAAGATTGCACCTTAGTTACAATTGCTACTGTAAAGCATCTTGCATCTCTCTAGTAAATCTTTAGTATTATAAAATAGGGTTTGACACAGTTCAAATGTGGACAATGGCTTCTGTACAGTCTTTGAGAACATATTTTTTTTTTTACATTTTTAAAAGACTGAAAAATATAATCAAAACATTAATTTCATGATATGTGACAATTATATGAAATTTAAATTTCAATGTCTATAAGTAAAGCGGTAATGAAACATGGCCATGCTTGTTTGTTCATTATTGTCTATGGCTTCTTTCTCATTTCAACTGAATGTCTGTGACAGAAACTACAAGCTTCCCATTACTTGACAGTGTTGCTTGGCGAATGACCAATCACAGCAGAATCCGAATGCCTTTTAAGAGTCACATGTATCATCATACTGGACATCTTATGTTAGTGATGACTCATGTCAAAACAAGAAATAAAGAAAGTGAATGCCTTGTATCATCCTTTTAAGGCACAAGGAAGTGATGATTTTTATGGAATTAGATGGCACAGTACTATTATTCACTTTACAGTACTACCACAGCCATGTTAAAAGAATGTAATACATACAGGCTGACTAAACAAGACTAAGCTTTCACAAGAATATCCTCAACTCAAAGGAAAGCAACATCCAGAAACTTAGAAAATAACGTCTCATCATAGACTTTCTTTAAATAATAAAATAAAAATAGCGTGAATGGGCTTCCCTCATAGCCCAGTTTGTAAAGAATCCGCCTGCAATGTGGGAGACCTGGGTTTGATCCCTGGGTTGGGAAGATCCCCTGGAGACGGAAACAGCTACCCACTCTGGTATTCTGGCCTGGAGAATTCCATGGACTGTAGTCCACGGGGTTGCAAAGAGAGTTGGACACGACTGAGTGACTTTCATTTCACTTTCACATAGCGTGAACAAAGTGTCTGAATGGCTCAAAAGCTGTTTGCTGTTAATTAAATCAGTTTGTACCAGTTGAAGAAATGTGTCCAGAGAAACTAAACTAAGCTTGTTAAGACTATCAGCATGTGGGCAAGAACTACTGCTCTGAGATGAAGACACAGGAACCAACACCAACAGTGAGTTAAAACAAGGCAAATGATTTCAAGTGGTTTTCCTTGGCTCTCTATTAGTCAAGTAACATAGCTCAGTTGTTTATTGAGTCAATACCAAATTTTAAGTGACTGAAAAATCAGCCTTTATAAATAGTATGCATGGAATAACTTCAGGCAAGAACATTTTCAATTTGAGAAAAATACCAATTTGTTACAATCTGAAGTAGAATTGGCTAAGATGTGTTATCTAATGAAAGTTTAAAAAAAAAAAAAAATCTAACTTTGTAAATCTCCAAAATCACAAATACCTCTATAGATCTTTCTCTCCAACTGGCGGTCAAGAAAAACTTTAAAACTGATTCCTTTAGCAATTTAGAATAATTATATCCATTAATACAGAACAAAACCCCACTCTATGAGGGAGCAAGGCAGTGAACTGGCCACATTCAATAGGTACACAAATTTCAACACAGGTTTCAAATTTTTTTCTTGAAAAGTTAAAACTTACAAAATGTTAAAACACAAACTTCTAAGGTCACGTCATTTTTTCCAATAGTTTTTAAAACTACATCTCCGATCTAAACTGTCAAGCTACTTCTAATACTTTTAGAAAGGTACTTAATAAACTCTCAGACATTTATATGCACTTCTCATTCTTAATAATCCAAGAACTAGCCAAACTTCCTACATTTTTACAATGGTTTGGAATGAATCTGTACATGATTTATTAATTATTTTCAACCCATTGTTCGTGTTTTTAAAAGGCACAGGGTTTTATTATGAATTAAAACACTTTTTACAGGAAAAATGTCAAACGCAATGAACTCACTTCAGTAGCTCAAGGATGGCAAGCACAATATCATTAACGTAACAGAACCCCGACGCCTCCGACTTCTTCGCGTGATGCAGCCCTCCAGCCCAGTTGACAGCCATGTCAGTCTGCTGTCGGTTCAGCTTCACAGCGCCAGCTAGCAAACGAAGACGGGAGAAACTTTTAAATGCTCAAACTTAAAAGTTAGTGTAACTAGACAACAGCCCCAGAGGAAAGAGGATGTCACGCATAAGCAAAGGAGTATAAAACCATAAAACGATCACTGTCAAGGGCACCAGCAGTTTCTCTTCAGATAACTCTTTTCCTGTAGCTGTGATCTGGTTAAATAAGAGCACATAGTTGGAAAGCGGTAGTGACAATAGTAGCTAGAAGAAAAGGAGGAAAAAGAAGTCTCTAAGTGAAAATGCAACTGAAGTAAAAAGCTGCAAATAAAAAAAGTTTACGACATTATGATCACAAAACTGGGTCGGGGGGGCGCCACTGAAAACAACAGTAACTAAACAGCTATAAACATACTATACACATACTACTTTTGTTATTAAAATCAGCCACTATTAAAGCTTGTTTCAAACAAATATCTCAAAAAATACACACAAGTTTAAATCAACTTTTAAATTTGACGCAATCAAGATACTTACCAACTGAGCCACCAGTTGAGAGCTGACAAAACTCAAAAAGTCCATCAAACACTGGACAGTCCTCTCCAACATTAACTGTGGAAGACGGATTTCATTAATTTCAATCCATTCTGTGAATTAATGAAAGCCTTTTCTTACAAAAACTATATCCTAAAAATAATGTTCGTTTGATGCAATCATAAGACATACATATCATAGTGGTAAAGTTTGCAATTTTATCCAAGGCAGTTAAAGTGTTGTATCTGAAATACCACCACCAATTCTTAACATGATTATTTGTGGAAAATATCTGATTTTTAAACAAATAGCTATCAAAATGGAAGAGGTATTTGGTGCTATTTAATTAAAATATGAGGTTAAATTTCCTAGGCATTTCTCCTTAAATATACAACAGTAAATTAATCAAAATTCTAAAAAGTTTAAATTTAACTTCAATTGCTTTATGATTTACATTCTTTAAAACTCCTTTAAGTACATAGAACATCCATAACTTTAGAAATGTACTGATTACCAAAAAAATATAACAGTTGGTTGCCCACGTCCATGGTTAGTGTTAATCTTGAAAGATGTTAAGAATTAACTAAACTCATGACAGCCAAGATACAGATGAAAGAGATACTTAATGCACAAGGAGACAACACATGCATATAGATATACAGCACATCACAACATATTTAGCTTCTTAGTACTGAGAGGATGAAATGGACATAGATCGTACCCATTCTCAGTTCTCCTCACCCCTCAATTTATATCCTCTTCAAGAAAAAGGGTCATTACTTTGTATAGCTTTGCACATCCTTAATTTATTTTAATGTATATTTTAGCTTCCTGCTATTCAGATATGACCATTATCTTAACACAATTCAGTATTCTGTAAATTTTAAACCAATCCTGTTAATTCATTTTACCTTAGGGCTAACTATGACTTAATCTAAGCCTAAATCCCCACTGAAAAAACAGGGGCAAATAATATCTATTAACATTTGTAATACAACATTTTATTGAATCAAATGAGATAATCAAAACATACATCAAATTCTTTGAATTTATAAGATGTCTAGCAACTACACTTAATTTAGTATTACTGAACAAACAATACTGTTTTTTTTTAACAAAATCATTACTGAAGTCCATCAATAAAAACATCAGAATGAACGCCAGTATCAAGCTTTAAAAGACATTGTTCTAGTCATTTTAGAAAGACATCTTGCACTCTATCTTCTTGCATTCAATCTCTAATAATAAAATATCTACAAAAGAGAACACTGTGTAGAAGAGAATCAAAAGCTTCATTGATACAACAAAGGGAACTACAGATATACATACAATTGCTCCTTGGTATCAACAAGGTATTGTTTTTAGGACCCTGATGACACCAAACTCTGGGGATGCTCAAATCCCTTATACAGTATTTTCGTACAACCAATGGAACATCTTCCCATATATTTAAATCATCTCTGATTACTCACAATACTTAATACAATGATAGCTGTATTAAGCTGAATTAAGTGTATTAAGTTGAAAGTAGACTGTTGTAACGGAGAAGGCAATGGCAACCCACTCCACTACTCTTGCCTGGAGAATCCCAGGGACGGGGGAGCCTGGTGGGCTGCCGTCTATGGGGTTGCACAGAGTCGGACAAGACTGAAGTGACTTAGCAGCACCAGCAGATAGTTGTAAATGCAATGTAAACAGCTGCCTACAAGAGGCAAATTCAAGTTTTGCTTTTTGGAACTTTCTGGAATAGTCTGGATTAAAGCACACAAATAGAAGGCAAGAAATACACACACCAGACTAAGGCCAAAGTACAGTCATGTTTTTAAAAGCAGGGAAGTGAGGTTTCCCTACCAACATCCACTATCTCAAAGTTAACACGGAACCAAAACAAAGAGCAAAGAACATCCAAATAGCTCTTTGGCAGTTTGGCAGACCAGTAAGCTTCAGGTAGGCTGTTTTGTCTTTTTTTTAAAGCAGCTTTAGTATTGTCATGTGGACTTTTTAAAATCAATAAATAATTAAAATAATTAGATCAGGAAAATATCTAGATTTAGATAATTCTAATTACAAGTTCTTAAAGTACTTATTTATACTTATCACTACTAATATATACTTTTAACATAGAAACGTACATCTCTGCATCTGCTTACTATACTCAGACATGTTATCTGGTCTTATTGAACGTAGAAATTTGATGTACTCATCACTGTGGTATTTTGTCATTTCTTCAGCAGTGGCTTTATGGGGCCTCTGTGAAGAAAAATAAATGTCAGAATTGTGGAATTACAACTGGTTAGATCAGGGTTACCAAACATGAAGTATACAATGTCCCCTACCACTACTCTCAAAAGAACTAGGTCTGCCAGAATAAAACAGATAAATTTTAAAGCAAATCCAAATTTATACATGTGTGTTTTAGAAAGCAGTAATCAATTTCAAAAACAATATTCCTTTAAAAAGGATTACACAGGTCTAACACCAACTATGAATTAATCATTCCTTTTCTTTTAGTCACTTCAGTCGTGGAAATGGGTCAATCCTTCTAAAGACAAACACATGTGCATAAACTCTACTTTCTAACATTTTCTACCATAAATCTTCTGCTCTATAGCCAGTAATTTCATCACTGACCATTAATTTTCAGGAAGGTTGAGACTCATCCAGGTAAAATGAGACTCATTCTCTATTAGTTCATGATTTCTCTCCCTTTTTCTTTGACTATCCTAATCATCCTTGTTCCTAGGAAGTTCACTTCATTTATGACACCCTTTTTCCACAAGGCTTCCTAAATGCAAGTCCTATTCTCTAAATGTCTATAATCTCAAAGAAAGAAGCTTATATATATTGCCCAACACTGTTCACTGCTCCAAGCTGTCCTATTCTCCCCCAGCAGACAGGAACTATTGCATCTTATATCTGTTTATCTACATTCTTATCTTTTCTGCACAACAGACACTTTGCATGCTTACTAATACAGTGTTACTTATGACAACAAATATTGGTATGATTAATTTTCTACCTAATTCTTTTGTTAATAGTCCCAGATCAACTCTTCAGCAGCATAGACAGGTCAATAATTATTTTAACAAAAATATCTAGTATGCTAAATTGAGTTGGTCTCTAGTTATGGGATAACCTGGGGGAGGGAGATTGTTTCTTCTTAATGATTGAAGGAAGGGAAAAAGGAGGCCACAGATCCCACACTCTCAAGTTCTCTCCGAAAACTGAAACAAAAGAGGACTTTCTGTTTACTCCAGTCCTTTTCATCTGCTAAATGCCCTCCAAATTTGAAAACAAAGTTTCAAAGCAATGGTAAAAAACAAAGAAAACTGAATATTTACCAAAAGGTATACTCACATATATTTCCATTTTTCTATATAAGCCATAATTTAGCAGCAAGTTATGGGTCATGCGGATCCTATGAGGTTTCATGGGATGACCCTGTCCGTAATAATAATTTCCAATATCACCTAAAAAAGGAAAGACAAAATGAACAATACAGACAAGAGAATCTTCAGGAACTATTTATTGTTCATCGTCAGATGTCATCTAAATAAGATAAGCTTTATTTAAAATATTAAATAATGATATTAAATTTTGTAACTCTCAAATTATTAGAAAACCAAGATACTATGCATGCTTCTACACACTGAGGACTCCATCGACACGTTGTTTGTTCAAATATTAAGGCAAGCAAGCTTTTCTGATTTTTAGTTTACTAGAAGTTTGGGATTAGCATAAATAAAATACTCTTTACTCAAGTTACAAAAAGGAGTTACTGTTCCTTAAAGTGACACCTGCTTTTAGTATTCAATGGCAAATTCAGATGTGTAAGGTACATAAGGAGTTACACAAGTATGACTTAAAAATTTTATAGCAAATATTGCTTCTTAGATGATTCACTGGCATCCTCAAATCCTGTATAGTTGGTATTACCGTGGCTGGAATGTTTTATACATCCATATTGGTCAATAAGGAATGTTGGTAACTGAACCTGGGATCCTAAATGAAGTTTTGTTATGACATACTTACTACATTTTTCAGGCTCTTTACCTACCTAAAAGTATTAATTTTATTGGAATTTGGTACGCAAAAATCTGGGATTTATTTAAAGTAAACCTTATGTGTAAATCGTTAAGATCTGGAATGAATCATGAAGAATGAGGCAAAATACCCTCATTAGCCTGAAAAATGTAGTAAGTAAGAGCCAGTGTTTCTATAATAAAAAGTGTTAAGGATGCTACTTAAATATACACGATTATTCTAATGCAATGGGCAATTTTTACAACAATGTTTATTAGACATTACTTTCAGTACTAATTCTATTTTTTAAATAACCAAGTCTAAAATTTGAGCCAATCTGACTGCAATGGTTTGAACTCATCTTAAATATGGGCTCATATAATAAAAACTAGAGATAAAGAATAATCTTTACTCCCCTTCTAGATCAAAAATATCTTTCAAAATCCTGCCTAAATACACACTTTTTTTGGTTTGTTTAATGAAAACTGGAATTCAAAAACTTCTGCTTCTCTCTACCATATTTTTAAATAGTAGTCCAGGATGAACATTCACTTTTATAACATTATAACATACTTGTTTCTAATACTACCACTAACTGATTTTGTTGGTGCTGCATCTTTACTTACCTCTTCATCTTCAAAACAAGCTTTCCTCTGAAAGCAACTCATATATACACATAGTCAACCTTTCTTAATTTGTGCCAACAATAAAGCTAAGATAATACAGACAAGGAGCAAAGCAGAGCTATGGGGACACGGTTCTGCATTTATCACAGTTCAGAGGCTACGAGAGTACCGGAAACTAATTTCCTAGCTGTAAAGCTCTGCTTTCCATCATGACAATACACATCAAGTTCCTTGAAAGCAGCCTGGTCTCAATAAATTCTTAGATATGGAAAGCCCACTAGATTTACAAAGTATCACGGGCCTAAGTTAATGCAAGGAAGGTTATTTCTAAGTTATCATCCCTACCAAAGGAGATAACAAGAATAAGAATAAAGATTCTTTGGCTTCCCAGGTGGTACAGTGGTAAAGAATCCACTTGTCAATGCAGGAGAGGCAAGGGATGCAGGTTCGATCCCTGGGTCAGGAAGATCCCCTGAAGTAGAAAATGGCAACCCATTCCAGTATTCTTGCCTGAAAAATCCCACGGACAGAGGAGCCTGGTGGGTTATAGTCCATGGGATCACAAAGAGCTGGACACAATCGAGCAACTGAGCACACACAGTCTTCACATAACTTCCATCTTCTCTGTGTAAAAATTACCAAGATGAAATGTCTCTAATATCTTAATATCAAATACTCTAGTTATGTACACACTGAGAATTCAATAAAAAGCTATCAACTAATCTACTAATTAAAAGATGCTTGCTCCTTGGAAGAAAAGTTATGACCAATCTAGACAGCATATTAAAAAGCAGAGAGATTACTTTGCCAACAAAGGTCTGTCACGTCAAAGCTATGGTTTTTCTAATAGTCATGTATGGATGTGAGAGCTGGACTATAAAGAAAGCTGAGTGCCAAAGAATTGATGCTTTTGAACTGTGGTGTTGGAAAAGACTCTTGAGAGTCCCTTGGACTGCAAGGAGATCTAACCAGTCCATCCGATAGAAAATCAGTCCCGAATATTCATTGGAAGGACTGATGTTGAAGCTGTAACTCCAATACTTGGGCCACCTGATGTGAAGAACTGACTCATTTGAAAAGACCCTGATGCTGGAAAAGACTGAAGGCGGGAGAAGGGAAAGACAAGGATGAGATGGCTGGATGGCATCACCGACTCAACGGACATGAGTCTGAGTAAACTCTGGGAGTTGGTGATGAACAGGGAGGCCTGACATGCTGCAATCCATGGGGTCGCAAAGAGTCGGACACGACTGAGCGACTGGACTAAACTGAACTAATAATGAGAAAGACAACAATAATCTACCGAAGGAAAGTATAGCTGCAATTTCTCGGCAAGAGTGCTTGAAAAAAAGATGTTAGCAGCAATTAGCATTTATTCAGAGCATCTGAGAAGGCACTGTTCTAAGCACTTCACGTGTATTATCTGTTAATCTTTTCAGCAACCCTATGATGTAGGTATTATTAATATTACTACTGTTCCTATTTTATTAAAGTGAAGATGGAGAGATGTAAACAAGTCAGGTGATATTGTGAAAGTCACATAGCTAGCAAGTAGAAGAGCTAGGTTCAAATTTGGGCAGAGCAACTCTGCCAATGTTCTTAAGTGGTAGCTACTGAGAAAAGTAATGGCACTTACAGTTACGGGAAAGAAATGGTAGGGGGAAGGCTGACAAGAAAAGGACATAAAATGGAATACAAACATTTAAAGAAAATGAGCATAAAAAAACTACCTATCAACAGGGTCCTCAAATTTTATATGAATATACACAGCTTTCAACAAGTTTCTTGGCTATACTTTGGGGGCCCAGTTCTACCAAGAATATGCATCCTACATAAATGACACACATCCACAAAGGCAGCCAAGCTACAGACAACTGCTGTTTGGTTTATGAATTCTTCCAAAATGTAAGGGAGTATGAGAAGAACTGAGTAATCCCCTATCACAAAATTCTCTACATGGCTGCTTTGCAGACATCCACTTTTCCATAAAGATAAAATAGCTTTCCTTAGTTGCAAAAACCTATGGATTTCATTCACCTCACTTAAATGGTCAGTAACATAATTTGGGGGCTTCCCAGGTGGTGCAGTATTCAATCCCTGAGTCAGGACGAGCTCCTAGACTAGGAAATGGCAACCGATCCCAGTATTTTTGTCTGAAAAATTCCATGGAAAGAGGAGCCTGGCAGGTTACAGACCATGCAGTCACAAAGAGTCAGACACAACTGAGCAAGGACTCAATGTAATTTGGGCATTTAAAATGTTACCCTGATTTTCATCAAAATACTAAAAAATGCTTTACCAGTGAAATAAGTATTCAGAAAAATTAGCTTGAAGTGGTTCCTTGAATACAACAAACTTTGTCAATGTGAAGTAATTATGAAAAAGATTTAGATATTACCTGCAAAATTTTCAAAACTGCTCACTTTTCAAGAAGCTCCCAGAATAGGGCTTCCCTGGTAGCTCAGACGTTAAGGCGTCTGCCTACAATGCAGGAGACCTGGGTTCGATCCCCTGGAGAAGGAAACGGCAACCCACTCCAGTATTCATGCCTGAAAATCCCATGGACCGAGGAGCCTGGTCGGCTACAGTTCCATGGGGTCACAAAGAGTCAGACACAACTGAGCGACTTCACTTCACTTCTCCTAAGGTCTACAATCTCTTTTCTTTAAAGTTCTCCAGACTAGATACATTTGATTTTATAAATGTAATATGATGCATCTGCCATATGTTATGTGACAACCTTAAGTCTGGGCCATATTCTGTAAGCAAACATTAATATTTCTGCAGCAAATGTGTAAATATTCAAAATAAGTGGATGATAAAAAAAGATGGCAAATATTAATTCAAGTTAAGCTTTTGATTTCAAATGAGTTGTAAAATTTTTTTTTCACTTTTTGGATAACTTTGGATTTCAAGAGTATGAAATTAACCTTTATGCCTAAAGAAAAGTTGACTAAAACATGATTCAAGAAAAAACAGAGAGCCACTGTATTATTTTTGTCTTCCACAGACTAGATAGGCCACTGGTGACTTTAACACACGGGCTACTTCTTGAAATACTCAGTCTTGGTTTCCATGATACCACTTTCCTGGATTTCATACCACCCCACAGCCACTCTTACACCAGCCTTGATTTATCAAGTCTCTTAAGTTCACTCATTCATCTAACACATCACCAGCCTACTGTGTGCCAGGCGGGAGCTTGAGTAAGTAAGTGAATCAACAGTGCTGCTCCAAATCCTCTTCTCTCAGGAATAAGGCACCTAACTGCTCAAAATTCAGAAATTCAGGAGCCATCTTTTATTTAGTGATCACCAAGTCCCAACTCCATTTCCAACCCAATCAACAGATTCTATCAGTTTCACTCCTAAAATCTCTCTTAAAAATGTCCATGTCTATCAGTTGCATTCATTACCTTGTATGTGGACCAATATATACTCAATTCTTACTTTCAGTCTTACATGCTATCACTCTTTCCCATCCTTTCTCCACTTTCCAGACACTTAAGAAAACTTCAGTGGCTTTCTGCTTCCTGAATAAAGCCCAAATCTCTAACCACAAAGTCTTGGGTGGTCTGGCCCTTTACTACCTGGCCTAACCCTAGTTTCCTCATGTCTTCCCCTTAGCTTCCTCTCTGTTAACTGCACCGGGTCTTTTCTAACTATGCAGCCTTTGAAGTCTGCAGTGTCTTATGAAAGAAAACTCTTTTAAGGAGGCTGGCCCATTCTATGTCTTCAGGGGCTTCCCTTGTCTAAATTTACCGTACTAAGGTCCCCTCACTTACTATCTAACATAGTCCTACTTTTCCTTCTTAAAAACAT